GATATACTCTAGTTTTTTTTATATCTTTCGATATAGTTTTAAAATTTGTAATTTTAATTTTTTAATTTCACACCTTTTTTATACATATAAAATGATTTCTAAATAATTTTAGTCAAACATCGTAACGTGCAATGAGAATATTATTGTTAGACGGAGGGAGTAGAGAACTAGTTGGGGGTATATATAATGAATGAATATAATGAATGGCTTGAGGCGTGTTGAAGTTAATTGGGAGTGATTCACGAAAAAAAAAGTGCATGAAAGGTGGCGTGTATTGTAGAGGCCAGAGGTCGCTTCGTGGACTTAATGCAATGGGAGAATAGATGAGCTCATGTGTGGTGTGGGTGTAGAGCAATATGCATGTCCGAGATGATGCCCTTGAACAAACAATAATGGGGCATGCACACCATGATGACACATGGCTTGCTAATTTTTAATGAAGAATTTACATACTAAACCATAATGACTTTCTCAGTCTAGTATAATATGTTTTTATTTTTTAAATGTAGTATCACTGTTCGTTGTCCATTATTGGTCATTGTTAAAGTAAATACCTACCGTCACTGGACATTGTTCAAACTAAATGTCCACCATCACTGCATATTGTTCCCCCTACTAGACATTACTCAAGTATTATTCAGGGAATAAAAAAATTTAAGTATTACATTAGTGAATGACATACTACCTCCGTTCCATATATGGGTGGCCTGGAAGGTGGGCAAAGTGGCCAACAGCACAGGGCCCCTAAAATTTTATTTTTTCATTTTTCGGGGCCAGTCCTCGTTCCATAGTATTTGTCCACTTTTGACTTTTTCAGTCAACTATCGATTGCCGACGACGAGCAATTCAACTAAAGTCTGGAGAGGGAAAGTCTATAGAGGTGAAAGAGAATCTGACACCTAGATCCACTGAATTCATCTCGTACATACACGCTAGGCGCCTCATTCAAAAGAAATGTGAAGCTTATCTGTGTAACGTACGTGACACACGAAAGGAAACTCCTGAGTTGAAAGAAATACCGACAGTATGTGGTTTTCCTGACGTATTTCCTGACAAACTTCCTGGTATACCATCTTCCAGAGAAGTAGAATTTTCCATCGATCTTGTTCCTGGAACAGGACCGATATCTGCAACTCCCTATCGCATGGCTCTTACTGAAATGAAAAGAGTTGAAGGCTCAACTACAAGAACTACTCGATAAAGGATTCATACGTCCGACTGTTTCCCCTTGGGGAGCAACCGTCCTGTTTGTCAAAAAGAAAGACGGCTCGATGAGACTCTGCATCGATTACCGTCAATTGAACAAAGTCACAATCAAAAATCGATATCCTTTACCTCCTATCGATGACTTATTTGATCAGCTTAGAGGATCCACTGTATTCTCTAAGATTGACTTACGGTCAGGATACCATCAAATCCCTGTAAAGAAAGAGGACATCCCAAAGACTACGTTCCGTACTCGTTATGGTCATTATGAGTTTACGGTAATGCCCTTTGGTTTGACCAATGCTCCAGCAGTATTCATGGATCTCATGAATAGTGTATTCCGACCTTATCTTGATCAATTCGTGGTTGTATTCATCGATGATATTCTTGTCTATTAGAAGAATCGAGAAGACCATGCGAGACATTTGGAGATAGTACTCAGCATACTACGGGAACATAAACTATATGCCAAACTATCAAAGTGTGAATTTTGGCTTAATGAAGTTACGTTTTTGGGACATGTGATTTCTCAAGAAGGTGTTAAGGTAGACCCCAGTAAAATATCTGCCATCACCGAGTAGAAGGTTCCAAGGAATGTTCGTGAAGTGAGAAGCTTTCTTGGATTAGCTAGATACTATCGACGATTCGTTGAAGGCTTTTCCTCGATCGCAACTCCACTTAACAAACTTCTGAGAAAAGATGTGAAATTTGTTTGGACCGATGCATGTCAGCAAAGCTTTGAGAAACTAAAGAAATGTCTGACAGAAGCACCTGTGCTGACCCAACCAGTACCAGGTGTAGACTACACAATCTTTAGTGACGCATCTCATAATGGCTTGGGATGTGTACTCATGCAAGACGGAAAAGTCGTGGCATACGCATCAAGACAGTTGAAATCTCACGAATGTAACTATCCTACTCACGATCTTGAGTTAGCAGCAGTTGTATTTGCT